CAGTACGTAATAGTATAAATGCAAAAACCTTTACAAGGTACAAGGAGCGAGGCCAAAGATCAGTATTGGATGCCGATGATCTTCAGGCCTTCAGGCAGCACTGAGTTAAAAACAGACACGATTCTGTCCTGTAAATCGGTGCATGGGCTCAGGAACAATTCCAGAAATCTGTGACCACACTGTGCCACACCCAAATGCAGGTTAATGCTACTGTCTTCTCTGGGCAAAGCTCATTTAAAATGGGCTGAGGCAAAGTGGAAAACTTTTCTGTGGTAACTGAAATTTGAAATTCCTTTTGAAAAACATGGACTTGCATCTCCTGGACTAAAAAGGTGAGGGAGCAAAGATGGGAGTTTCTGAACTGAGGGGGCATCAGTGCACGTTTCAGAGCAACATATGCTTCCATCCAGACAATGTCTTTTTTTTTCACCCATGGAAAACATCATGTAATTAAAACATTAGGCTGCTGAGTGTTAAACAGCTCGAATGCAGTAGCAAACAAGAAGCAGTGGTTTCTATTTTGTGAAAAAGTTGTGAGTTTGTGAGATTTGCAAATTATTCTGTTCTGTTTTTATGTACATTTTATACAACTTCACAACTACTTTTGGACTTGGAGTTGTAAAATATGGGTTTGAGTCAGAAGTCTGGGTTCATTTTGAGATGTTTTTTGTTTTTTTTAATGGAGCAAATGGTCCGATATAACACGAAACTGGTCAAATGAGACAAATGACATAATCAAAACCATAAAAGCTACAGACGCTAAACATGCTGCTTCTTAAAATAGCGCACGTATTTCAGCTGTGCTGACATAATCAGAATAATGGTATTTCTATTAACAACATTTTAGCATGATAAGCTCACATCAGGTAACACAATATGACATTAGAACATGGGTGGAGATACTGAAAATGTACATCTACTAAAGTTTTTATTCAAAATTATTGGTAATTTACGATTAATCACTCAATCATTATCATAAACTTGATCATTTTATGTCAAACATAAACAGATGTGCTTTCCTTAAAAACGCTGACATTTTTCCCAGAACCCAGATGTGATTGTAAATAAGTCACAATAAGTCTCTTTAATATGCTTTAATATGCTTTAATATTGGCTTGTGTTTTTTCAATACAGCTTGAAGCAATACAGAAACACCCCTGGTACCTGTAAGTATACTTAACTTTTTATTTTGTTCTTTTGTCCGCCTGCTTTTTTTTTTTGCATTTTACATTTCCCCCTGTCTATTCAGTGCACCTCCACCCCTGCTGACTTTTTATACATACCAGCTTACTATGATCCTTCAAAGGACCTGTTTCAAAGGCAGCGTAAGGAATCTCTGCAGAATTTCCCCTTGTTAAATTTAACAAAGTCAAAAAGCATTTTATGGAATCATAAGATGTCTTTCCTAATTCCAATTCTTAAATATAAAGCTTTTAAGTCGTGCTGGTACTGAAATACCGTGTCTCATACATAAAGTACACCACTAGTGAGTGTTAACTACAAGTAGGTGATCCTCCTGTGATCTATTTTGGGATTTCTCTCTTCAGTCCTGCAGTCTTGGAGACCAAGAGTAGCTCCCGGCCTGGATTTTGGAAAGCAAAATTAAGCTTTTCAGTTATTCTCACATTTTTATTTTCTGTCAGGCTGTAAGTGAAACGATACTACCTCTACTATCTCTTTTAATAGTCGTGCTTAAACCAGATCTATTTATACTTAAATATGAAAGCCTGTGGCTGATGTGGCGGTGCTCACTGCACCACATGCTAAACTCTGTTCAGAGAAAGCATTTTTAATTACACAGCCTAAATAGACTTTTTGTTTTTGTGCCAGGGGCGGCCGGAACGAGCCCTGTCCAGAGCAGCCTCCCCCTCGCCGAGTGTGTATGAAGAGGATACTGTCCTTAACTGAGCTCGACCCTGATGTCCTGGAAAGCATGTACTCCCTAGGGTGCTTCAGAGATCGGGTTAAACTCACACAGGACCTTACAAGTGAGGAGTGAGTAAATACAACACAGAAATGTCCACTTTTACATCCCAGATATTTCCGA